CGGCAGCACCGCGGTCTCCCACACCACCTCCCCTCTTTTGCTTCTTCTTGTTGTTGCGTGTGCGGCTACTGCGGCGGTGGTGGCCGCGTGAGAGTGAGTGTGAGAGAGCCGTGCACCGCCCGCACACACACTCTTCCTTCTCTCTCTCTGTGTGTGTCCCCTTGCATGGACTCTCGCCCTCACCTCACCCCACGAGGCACACACATAATGTGCCCATTGTATATATGCATGCACACCCATGCAGGCCCGTTGGTGCTCTCTTTTGCACGACACGCACCGCTGCCGTCCTGCCTGGCTGCATGGGCGGAGCACCGTAACTGTTTTTGTTTCCATTGCATTGAGTGGGCGACCTCTCTCTCTCTCCCTCTGTGTGTGTGTTTTGCTTTACGGGAGTAATGAGAGTGTGTGTGCGCTGGTCGTCCCACGCTTCGGCTTTTTGTTTTTTTCGTTTTCCTTTTTGTGTTGTGGTTGAGTCGACCCATAATGTTTTTTTTTCATTTTTGATTGGTGGTTTGCTTAGAATGTGGACGCATGATTTTTTATTTTGTTTTATTTTTGTTTTGCGATATTGTCAGTGTTTCTTATCCCTGTCAAGGCATTAATTGTTTTCTTTTACGCACAGCATGCGCCAATTGGTCACGTTAACCCACGGTCTGCAGTGCTGCTGGTGCTTGTGGTTGTGATGATGTGTGTGGTGTGATTGCCGAGAGGGAGTCCGTTGCCACCAGCATTCGTGTGGGCGATTGGGATGTTTCCAGACAAAAAGGTATGAGATGTCTAATGCCATCTTCAGTGGCAAGGCACTCTGCTCTATGGGCGTGCGAGCCTGCCAGCTGCTGCACGATGGACCTCCACAGGGAGATCATTTGTCGTGGTGGAGCCGTACAATGGTGCAGCGGATCCAGGTGCGAGCTCAGCGAGAGAGGAAGAAACGTCTGTCCATAATTCAAAATCATACGCTCCCAGATAGGAGTAAATAGAATCAAGAGCCGTGCGCTTGACGTCGTCAGAGGCGTCTTGGGCAAAGCGTGGCTGATTAAATTCCACTTTATTGCAGCGCACAGTGTCCCAGGGGAAATTCGATGTTGAATAGGAGGAGCACGATTGTGGCTGTGGGGTATCCCAATAATGTTAAATACGCGGCGCAATCCATTAACAACAGCATCTCTCGGAAGCGGGATTGATTTCGCCGCTTTTCATGCATGGACGGAGGCATATGTTCCGAGTGGGTAAGGGAACGCAAATCCTCGTGATCATGGAGGCGTATATAGCGTTCGTATTGTGTGAGTGCAAGAATCCAGAGTATCTTCCGCAGCGGTGCTGGATTGGCTTGCAAGCAGACGGATGTATTATCTGTAGATGCGCTAAGGCCAAGGGATGTTTTGCTACCGTCGCGATACCGTACTTCCATATTATGGAGGTAGGTTTGGGCAAGGCATGGGACAATTGCCTCGCCACAATGCAGTGACACACTATGAACGTATACAATCAAAAAGGATTGCATAGTGTGATGGGACGCACCAGCCTGTGCGACCAGCCGCAGCTGATAGCGGCGTGGCATGGTCTGCTTTGAAGCGGTGGAGGCGTGCGTGCCAAAATTAAGAAGGCGATTAATCGTTGTTTCCAGCAAGCGCACCGGGCGTGAGTGAATACATATGTTCTCGCTGCCAAGACGAAGATCGACCATTTCCTCGTCAGACAGTGTGTGTGTGAAGAGATGTAGAATAGAGCAGCTTCGCTCTTAGCGACGTTGATTTTTAGGTTTTGCTCGGCAGCCCATGCCGTTGTAAGTGACAGTGCAGGCTGCATTGCCGTAGCACATGCATGGATTTGCGCAACTGAGGCAACAAGTGTGAGGGCGTCAGCGTGCATGAGAGCGGCGGCAGAATAGATGCTGTCCATGCGGCGCAGCAGATCATCCACAAGGCGGAAGAAGAGTTGGGGTCCCGGGACGCCGCCTTGCGGTACCACGGCTGAGGCGAGTTGTTTCCGGGAGTGCGGTTCGCGAGTGCATACCCTAACATAGCGGCCCCGCAGGTAGTTGTGCAGCCAGCGTTTGGTTCGAGGGCCAAGGCGCGGAAGTCTGTCGAGCATGCCGAATAATTTCTCATGGTCAGTGGTGTCGAACGCAGTCAGAAAATCAATCGAGACTACGAACGAGCGATGGCGACGAGGGTGCCGTGCGGGGGCGTCGCCTCCAGGGCGCTCATACTCCACAGTGCTGAGCTCATTCAATCCACGGGTAATTTTATCGATGACAAGTGTCGCCACGTCCGATGCAGAACGCGAAGGTGTGAACCCGAATTAACGCGGGTGGTGCGGCAATAACGCTGACAGACGGCGGTGAATCATTCCTTCGGTTAACTTTGGTAAAACAGAGAGTGATTTGATAGGTCTGTAACTCTCTGGGCGGCATGGATCCTTCTCAGGTTGGGGAATAGAAATATTGTCCACCGTATTCCAGGAGCCAGGCAAGCTGCCATTTGCGAAGGATTTGTGGATCATCGTTCTAAGAGTGCCGTGCGCAACGGGCCCGAGACGGTGCAGGAACTCATTCAACGTGTTGTCGGGGGCCAGGGGCTGAGCCGAGCGAAGAGTCGCGGATGGCCACGTCAAGTTCATACGGCGTGAGAGGCCGATCCATTTCCCGGTCACCAGGAACCAAAGGAGTGCGGCGTGCAGCAGCAGCAGTATAAGGTAACGTGGCACGTGAGACACGCACAAAATGAAGGACGAGCAGGTTTGCTTGCTGCCGAGGCAGGGCGCAGTCCGAAGATCAGTGCGGAGCACCACCGATTCCAGGGGATGAGGATGCGGCGCCGCCATGCCGCGAAGATATCGCCACCTCGGGCTGGGTGAGGCCCCAAGTTTTTCCACACGGGATTCAAAAAGTTTAATGAAAGTACAGCGTAAGGCCTCATTTTCTTCCCCTTTTTTGGATGAATTCGGCTCAAAGTAGGATGTCTCCTGGTGAGGCGATGTGTGTGCTTCGTGTGCTGCTTCATCAGCGGCCTGGGCTTGCACCATTTCGTGTGTCCATATTCGTTTTGGAGCTGTCACGGCTGCCGCGCGGGATGTGGCGCTCAGCCGCTCGCAAGATGCCTCTGCGAATGTCCAACCATGTGGACACGGTGGCAAGGAGGGTTTCACACAACGAAGTGAAAGCAGGCCATTCCGCTTTACGCAGGGCAAAAGTGGCTTTCTTCCGTCGAGGCAGCGTGCTGGCTAGTCGTGGAGTGCCATCATCCATCTCTACCAAGTAAGATATTAAGCAGTGGTCCGAGTCCATGTAAGGGGTGGATGCCGGTGGGAGATGCGTAGTACGCGATACGCAGCCACGCCAGGGGACGAGGCATTACGATGTGTGATCCGTGTTGCCTGCGCCGGGTAATTTGCCAGTTCAAAATTCAAATCAATTAAAATGGCAACGAAGTTTTCTCCAGTCGTTGGTGGTATATATGACTGTCCCAGAGCTCATGGTGTAAATTCAGGTCACACGCGATAATCGCTGCGGGGCAAAAGCGACGAAAGATAATAATAAATGCGGATTATTGACCAATTGCTGTGGGAGGGTTGTAGAGATTCACCACGCAAATGCTGCGACGGCCCGGTGGAAATACACGGACAGCAATGGTCTGCAGGAGGTCAGTGCCAGTGAGCGACAGGCGCTCGCACGGCAGAGAGTGGCGCACCAGAATGGCAACGCCACCACCGCGCCCAGTGCAGGCCTGAAGGTAGTCATTATGGCCAGAAGCTTTCAACGCTACGTCACTACGGTTACTTATTTCCTGGAAAAGAACGATGTCAGGTTGATGCAGCTCCAATCGTACAGCAAAAGCAATCTTTTTTACGGACGAGAGGCCTGCAATGTCAAGCCGCCAAATAGTGATGCAGCCATCCTCCTCGGTGCCAGGGTTCGTGTGGACGTCACCGCCACGGGGGATATCAACGGAGTGACCGCAGCGAAACGGCCGTGCAGTTTTGTCCGACAACCTGCGGGCAAACCGCCTCACCTCCCCGCACCGGGCATGACGCGGAACCTTCTCGAGGGGTGGAGTCGTCTTGGTCTCCGTCGTGCTCGCCGCAACGCCCTGCTGCGGAGTTCCTATATGCAACCAAGGCCCCAGCACCGCGACAAGGTGCAGACCCCATCGCCGGGGCCAGGAGAAGCCGCAGTGCCTCCTGCTGTCATCAGGGATCCTTGTTGACGTCTTGATGCGGACAAGCGCCCATCGGTTCTTACAAACGACGCCGTACACCTGCGACACATCCTGCGCTGTGAGAGGCACGACCCTCACCACAACCGGAGTTGCCCACGCGCCGTCGGTACGCACCACATCGAAAAGAAAAAAACAGGGATGCGTCAGGGTGACAGCAAAGCATCCGCTAGCAATCACTTCGCACGCACCATAACAAACAGCACCAGAAGCGCTGCAAGCCACGGGTTAACGTGGACCAACTGACACATGGCGTATGTCGAAGGAAAAACTTAGTGGCCTCGCAAGGACAAACGAGGCTGACAGTTCAAAACAAAAAAAAACGATATGGGAATAACAAAAGAAGACTAAAGTGTCGTCAGTCAAAGCATGCCGCCAATCAAAGAAAAGTGGAATGGGTGCACTCAACCATAACACAATGAAAAAGGAAAACAAAACGAAAAGCCGAGGCGTGGGACGACCAGCGCACACTCTCATTGCTCCCGTAAAGCAAAACACACACACAGAGGGAGAGAGAGAGAGGTCGCCCACTCAATGCAATAAAAACAAAACAGAAACAGTTACGGTGCTCCGCCCATGCAGCCAGGCAGAACGGCAGCGGTGCGTGTCATGCAAAAGAGAGCACCAACGGGCCTGCATGGGTGTGCATGCATATATACAATGGGCACATTGTTGTGTGTGCTTCGTGGGGTGGGGTGAGGGCGAGAGTCCATGCAAGGGCACACACAGAGAGAGAAGGACGAGTGTGTGTGCGGGCGGTGCACGGCTCTCTCTCCCTCACTCTCACGCGGCCACCACCGCAGCAGCAGCCGCACACGCAACAACAAGAAGAAGAAGCAAAAGAGGGGAGGTGGTGTGGGAGGCCGCGGTGCTGCCGTCACTGTTTTGTGTGTTCGTCGTATCAGTTGTGTTGGCGGTTACTGTTGTTTCTTTCGGATTGGCTTCTTTATTTTCATTTTGTTTTTCTCTTCTTGTCCCTGCACCATCAGCTGCTGGATGATTTCTCGGGATGCCCTCTTCAGTGCTATTGTCAGCTTCATTATTGGCAGCATCACCGTTTGCCATGGGTGATGGTGGCCTGGATTCTGCATTGTCGTCTTGGACGCGTTGTAGCGGTTGCATGGGTGGTAAATCCTCAAAGCTGGAATGTCCATTCATTGGTGCTGGTGGTGGCGGTGGTGTTGCTGTTTGTATTTCCGTGTTGTTGGCTGGACTTCCACGTGTCTCTGTAGGTGCCTCATTACTTGCATTTTTTTTGTCTCCTGTTTTTTTTGGTTCTTCTTCGGCCTCCACATCAGGACTGTCAGATTTACTGCGATGATCTCTTTTTTCTTCCGTCGGTGTCTCATCGGAGGATTCATCACTCTCGGAAGTATTCTCCAAGTTACCATCGTTACCACTCTTAGTGCCAGGGCTGCCAGAAGATGATGATGGAGAAGAAGAAGATTCAACGCTTTGGTGTTGGGACCCAGTTGCCTTAACGTCCTTGGGAACGTTCCTATCTTCTGTTTCTTTTCCACCATTTAGATCCAACCCTTCTGGTTCTCCTTGCTGTCCTTCTGTATCTGATCCTTCGGGCTTCGGCAGTAGTCCTGCTGGCTGACCTCCCGGACCAGCCGCTGCACTGCCCTCCGTATTATTAGGTGATGATTCCCCGGTATCCTGAAGATGGTCTGGACGACTCGGTTCATCTCCAGCTTCCTCAGCTTCAACCGCCTTTATTAATGCCATTCGAGTGGATAACAACACGCAGTCCGCCTTTAGAGACACGCCGTCATCGCCACCATTACTCGTGTGCCTCAAACCGTTCCCTCCGCCCTCACTGCCGTAATCCTCCATCGCGTGTCCAAAAACAGCACCGCACCACAGCACGCAGAGGGCACACACCAGCAGCACACGGCCAGCCATCATCGCCATCACTCCTGTCACTTGCGTGCAGCCTTCGGCACAAACTAACAACACGTCAACGCAAAGCAAAGAGAGACACGTCAAAAAACCACGACGGTACACCACAGAGTACACAGAAGCAGAGCACACAGGACGAGATAGTTTGGATCAGCACGATTGCAGAAAATGCACGCCGCACTGAAAACCACAAGATTAAAAACCAAGAAAACAAAAAATAAAAAACAAACCCAAGACTCCTGTGTACATGCATATGAGTGTGTCTGGGTTGCGTTCAACGTGACGGATGTGGAGAAGCAACCCGGATCGCACAGCAGGGCAGCGAAAGCAAAAAACAAAATCATTACTTTCTCTTATTGATTTACATCGGACCACAGTAGACGCGCACAAATCCCCGCGGTTGAGTGCTGGCACGCACAGCCCGCACACACATCTTTAGTTCACAGTGGTGTACGCCAGCACGGATACGGCGAGCAGCAGCGGGGCACACACCCACGCAGAGCTACTGAGGCTGCCATCGATTTCGCGAAGACGTGACGGTGCGCGGGTGGTCGTCGTGGTTGGAGCCTCTGTAGTCGTAGTCGTAGTACGAGGTGCCTCTGGCGCAGTGGTGGTCGTTGTTGTAGTTGTGGTCGTTGTGGTTGTCGTGGTTGGTGCCTGCTCCTTAACATCTTTACCGGTTAGCGCCACTTCTTTATTATGCTCCCGATTTACATCTGGCTTATCGGAATCACCTGTTGATCCTTTTGAAATGATATTTTCTTCTAATGCCCCTTGCTGACCAGACGCACCTCTTCCATCTTGCAAAGTGGGCGCTCCACTTGGTCCTTCTCCTGCACCTGTCGGAGATGGAGTTGCCGGAGCAGAGACTTTCTTCTGTGGTCTCTCTGACGAATCGGCTTCCTTATCTGAAGTCTGTCCAATACCTTCCGCGCCTTTTGCTCGTGTATTGTCGGAATCGTTTGAAACCACTGAATCCTGGGGCGTTGGAGTTTCTCCAGCTTTATCAGTTTTATCTCCACTCCCTGCCGCGCACACATACGGGCAGCAGCACAGGGCGAGCACCAACAGGGCGCACAGCAGACGGCACATCATCATCGTGAGTGTGGCCGTTCAGTGGTGTGGAGCTGATCTGCACAGTGAGGGGCATGGAGAGCAACAGGGGAGAGGAGAGGTGCGGCAGACACACACAGAGGGCACACCACATGAGGAGAGGGCAGCAGCCAGGCATGCACCGTACGCCGCACACCACGCACGACACACACTCCAATCCACAGATGGAAGAGGGAGAAGCAAACAGGAGCGGCACACAAGGCTCCACCGCATGCACATACGGCGAGAGCGGTCCGTCGTGTCTGCACCCCTCACGGAGGGTACGCACACACACAAGAGGAGGTGCAGCGCACACAGCAACACAAAAGCAAAGCAACAATTAAAAAGAGGAGATCCCCGCACACCACGTGAATTGCTGGTCCACGGGAATTGCAGCCAATATTCATCACAAAAGCAACTCAGTTGCCTTTGGCCTTCGTTCATATTCAGCGCAAGGAATGGAAGAGTGCAGGAAACTATTTATTTTTGTTCCTGTTTGAATGTTGGAAGGTTTCTGCATGCGTTGTTTCGTTTTTCAGATAGCAAACCTTCATGCCTGGATCGTGTGCTAAGAATTTCTGCGGGGTGCACAATTCTTTTCTTTCCCCTTGTGAATGTTTCTTGTGTTGGCGCAGCCAATAATTCGGTTTGTGTTGCTCCTGCCTTTCGCTGGTAAAGTGCTGCAATAGATGTTTGTTTTTCCTCTCATTGCTGTGGCACATGACTCCTCACCGTTTATTGCGGTGAAAATGAAAATATGTGAGTGGACTCCCACGCACCAGAACGCACCTTCGCTCCTATTTATTGCTGCATGGAAGGGCATGTGTGTTTGGTGGTGTCTCGTCCATATATTTTGTGGGTGTACATTCCCCTGCAGGCTGAGGGCGGGATGACGCTCCGTCGCGGTGCACTTCCCTCGCATGCCGCCCACTGTGATTCATCATGCATCACCCTCTCACATATTCCGTGGTGCCACACCGCTGATATTACTGCAGCCGCTGCGAGTCCACGTATTTCACGCATTTCATTGTGCCACAATACATCCGCTCGTGTGGCCGCCGCATCCAAACAGCGGTGCCCAACACCGTGAGCGGCAGTCCACATCCTTGTATGCCCCAACGCTGTGGTGTTTCACCGTCAGCCAGGCGTCAGACAGCAGGAGAGTATTGTGCTGGCAGTACAACACACGGAGCTGCAGTGAATGACTCGGCGGCGACGCGTCTATTTGTCGCAAGGCAGTGAAAAGGAGTCGGGCAAAATAATGCCGGCTGCATTCACAACACCACATCCACAGCCAAAGCATGCGACGTGATGTGTGTTTCACTGGTGCTGTGAAATGCCTGCAGACGACGTCACTAGTGGAGGCATGCCACCCATGATCAGCGGACAGACAATAATCGGCATGGGAGGCCACAAAAGGCAGCAATGACGCCAGCAGCAGGAGCAGCTCTCTCTACCTCTCTCTCTGTTGCCTCCGAGAAGTAAATATTCCACCAGCCACTGCCGACTTTGCCATCGTGACGCTCCATGCACGTCGTGGCTGCGTCAACACATCCTGTTCCCTGCAGCGCCTCAAAAGATGCCTCACTCCGTCCACTAAGTGCATCGGTGTGGGCCGTGCCTGGGCTGTTCGTGAGGACCACAGTGATGTGAGGGTCACCGAGTCGCAGCATGTTTGTTGTGACGTTGTTGCATGGCACCTGCACACACACACGCAGCGCCTGCATCCCTCCCTTTTGTGTCCGCCCTCCGCCGGAGTGGCCACACACACGGGCAGCAGCAAAATCATTTCTCCCTCGACAATCCAAAATCAACACCGACATCCCTCGCGACGCAAAGATCTCAGTTGCCAGCACGGGCCTCCTGCCGCTCTGCCATCCACAAAGAAACACGGCACAGTGCAGGCACTTATTTTCCTCGTGCTCCGCCAGCCGTTTGGTTCACACATTCCTCGATGGGCTGACGTCCACAAAAGCACGCCACAAAAGGCCACCGTGATCGCACACGCTCTTGTGATGAGCGTCGGTGTGTGCATGGATCCGCTGCTCACGCGTGCTGGCAGGCAGCCTGCAGCCGGTGCCCTCGTGCCAGTTCATCGGATCCAGCATGGAAAAGGGAAAACGGCCTATTCCCGATGCACTTATTCCCACCAGAAGCACCAACACGCTGGTCGCCAGCCGTCATTCCTCAGCACATCCAGGAATGCTGAAGAGTGACGTGGAACTGTCAGCCAGCAATGCCACAATCCCCGCACACATGTCGGCTCCACCAGAGAAGACACACAAATCACAAAAAACACCCTCCACATGATTTCCGAACATCATTCCGACACACCGCGACACGCCAAACAGAAGTATTCGTCACTCCAACGCACCTCCTCACACAATCACATAGTCCATGCACCACGCACGGTAGCAGCCTACACGCGGTCAGACAAATGTTCCTCGGATCAGTGTTATCCGCGTGCCGCAGTGGGAAGTAAACAAAAGAGACGAGCTGCCGAACCTCAAAAGGGTGCCACGACTGGCCGCAAGTCAACGGAACGCAGTCACTCAATGAATTCAGTCCTAATGCCCTCAGCCTCCCACCTTCCTCACAAAAGCTGCAAAGATTGAAAACAAACGCACCGTCCAATAAATCGCTGTAAACAGCAGATTAAGCCGCAGTGCCTCCTGCTGTAATCCAAGACACTGTTGCCGCCTTCATGGAGGCAGTCGCACATCTGTTATTCACAACGACGCTGAATACCTGCAACGGCTTCTTCAAAACGCATTTCCCCTACTGAATCAGAAAACGCCAATGCACCATCGGCCCGTACCAAAATTTAAAAAACAGCAAAATTCCTCATACAAAAAACAAAGTATACCGTGCCACGCCTCCATCAACTGCGGCCGGGTGCAGAGGCTGGGGCGTCCCGGCACACCACGCGATACTTTCTGGTTGGGTGCGTCCACAGTGCGTTGCACCACGGCGACGAGGCAATCGCACCGTGTCCGGCCCTCATTCACCTCCACAGCCTGGAAGTGCGGCACGGCGACAGCTGCACTGCATCGCTCGGTCCACGCGCAGCAAAGGAGGATACTTCTGTCCACCTGGCCGCCAATCCAGCACCGCTGCGGAGAATAATTGGGTTCCGCGCAACCACACAACACGAACGCCTCACACTTCTCCAATATATTGAGGACGTGCGTGGCGCAGTCTGATTGGAGGCCATGCCGCCGTCCATGCATGAAAAGCGGCGGCATCAATCCCGCTCCCGAGGATGCTGTTATTAATGAATTACGCCGCGTATGTAATACTATTGGGATACCCTACAGCCACAATCGTGCTCCTCCTATTCAACATCGTATTTTCCCCTGGGACACTGTGAGCTGCAATAAAGTGGAATTTATCAGCCACCTCTGCCAAGACGCCTCTGACGACGTCAAGCGCACGGCTCTTGATTCTATTTACTCCTCTCTAGGAGATTATGATTTTGAATTATGGACGGACGTTTCTTCCTCTCTCGCCGAGCTCGCACCTGGATCCGCTGCACTATTGTATGGCTCCACCACGACAAATGATCTCCCTGTGGAGGTCCATCGTGCAGCAGCTGGCAGGCTCGCACGCTCATATAGAGCAGAGTGCCTTGCCACTGAAGATGGCATTATACATCTCATACCTTTTGTCTGGAAACATCCCAATCGCCCACACGAATCCTGGTGGCTACGGACTCCCTGTCGAGAACTGAGGCACTCCGCGTCGTCCCACTGGCCGTGCGAGACTACGTTACTGAAGAGAGTTGGATTATGCTGCTCTCCTCGATACAGCGAGGTCACTCTGTAAACTTCATTTTCTCTCCGTCGCACTGCGGTATCCCACGCAATGAGGCCGCTGACGACGAAGCCATGATTGCACGATCCCTCCCGCAGGAGGGCGGCCCAATCTGTCACGTGCACATTCTCGCTGCAGTCGGGTGACCGTACTGGAGGGATGCCCAGAGGAAAAGGAAGGGCGCGTGCACCGCATGAGAGGCGCTTGTCGGTGTGGCGAGGACTCTATTCCTGGCACGACCCGGACATCGTGCCACGAGCGGCGGCTCTGCGCAAAGGCACGGTGCGATTCCTGCCCACTCCTCGACATGCCTGCGCATGCCCTCCGTATCAAAAATAACCCTCTGTGTCGGTGGTGCCGTCCCTTTCTTACTGAAGTGAACGGCCCGCCGCTGCCTCCGCCAGAACCTCTTCCCGACGTGAGCACCGCAAATCCTTGCCGACCAGCGAGCGGCGGATTGACGTTCTCCTGCCCAACATGCGGCAGAGCGCTCGTCCGTCCACAATATGAGGGCGCGCGCCCGACGTGCTCAGCCTGGCGTTATAATAGTTTGAGAAGGCCTTACATGTGGGTGCCACAATGGTGCCAGCGTCTTCTTAACAGGCGCCTCGCGCACAGGTCGCCACAGAAAGTGCCAAGCATGCCAGCAGGCAAGGCACGCAGGAAGCACAACCGCAGGTACTCGAGATAGACCACGGGAGACTTTGCTTCATCCACTTCAGAAATGCCCCCGTCGTTGGCAATTGGGAATGCGACTGTTTGGGAGTGCCCCAGCCCGCACGACGGCACGTTTCGGACGGAATGCTTGCCACTATTGTACGGACGGCCCTTGCGCTACTCACTCGTTATTGCAACAGCATACAGCAAAAACAAGATAACAAGTTGCTTTGCGATGAGTATTGGCTGTACTTCCCGTGGACCAACAATTCACGTGGTGTGCGGGGATCTCTCCCTTTTTTAAATTGTTACTTTGCTTTTGTGTTGCTGTGTGCGCTGCACCTTCTCTTGTGTTTGTGCGTATCCTCCGTGAGGGGTGCAGACACGACGGACCGCTCTCGCCGTGTGTACATGCGGTGGAGCCTTGTGTGCCGCTCCTGTTTGCTTCTCCCTCTTCCATCTGTGTGTTGGTGTTGCCGTGGATTGGAGTGTGTGTGTGCGTGTTGTGCCCTCTGTGTGTGTCTGCCGCACCTCTCCTCTCCCCTGTTGCTCTCCATTTCCCTCACTGTACAGATCAGCTCCACACCACTGAACGACCACACTCACGATGATGACGTGCCGTCTGCTGTGCGCCCTGTTGGTGCTTGCCCTGTGCTGCTGCCCGTTCGTGTGCGCGGCAGAGTCTACTGAGCATACTGAAGCTGAAGATCGTGAGGCTGAGGCTGAGGGAAACGACACCAGTTTATTGCACTCTTTATCAAAGACTAGGCCCGAAGATGAAGATATTGGAAAGGCTGCCATTTTACCGTCCGCTGTACCAGAGGTACCACGTAAGGAGATCGGTAACTCAGGGTCGCCAAGTAAGGGGTCCGGTGCGGAACAGGGAAGAAATGCCGGAGCGGGACCAGCCCCGACCGCTGCAGATCCGGAATCAGTTGGCGTGTCTAACACGTTACAAAATCATGATACGGACGGTAATCCAGGACCAGAAATCAGCACAAGACAATCCGCAGAAAAAGCAAATCAGGAAACCGAAGATCCTGCCGAGACTACTACTACGACGACTACAACACATGCACCAACAACGATAACAACCACTACAACAAAGGCACCAACTACGACCACTACAACAGAGGCACCAACCATGAATACAGAGGCGCTAACCACTATGACGACCTGCGCACCGTCACGTCTTCGGGAAATCGACGGCAGCCTCAGCAGCTCTGCGTGTCTGTGTGCCCCGCTGCTGCTTGCCGCATCCGCGCTGGCGTACACCACTGTGAACTAAAGATGTGTGTGCGGGCTGTGCGTGCCAGCACTCAACCACGAGTATTTGTGCGCGTCAACTGTGGTCCGATGTACTAAATAATGGGATAAAGTAATGATCGTGTTTCGCTTTGCTTGCTTTCGCTTCATGCTGTGTGCTGCTTTTTGCTTCCCCACATCCGTCACGTGGAACGCATTCCAGGCACAGTTAAAAGCGCGACACGCACACTAATGTTTGCATCGATGCACTGTTGAGGATGGGTGCATGCGCACTGCAGCCATTTGTGTGCAGCTCTTTGTTTTTGTTTTTTTTCTTTTGTGTTTTTACTGTTTTACTTTGTTGCTTTTTGTTTGTTTTTATTTTGTTTTTTGTGCGTCTTTTTTTTTTAATTTTTGCATGTTATTGTGCCTTTTTAAAATGTAATTGGTTTCGTGTTTTTCATGAAGTGCGTGTTGCTTCTGCTGGCAGCTGTGAGTGTGTCGTGTCTCTCCCCTTTTGCTTTCACTCTGCGTTGACGTGTTGTTAGTTTGTGCTGAAGGCTACACGCAAGTGACAGGAGTGATGGCGATGGTGATGACTGGCCGTGTGCTGCTGGTGTGTGTCCTCTGCGTGCTGTGGTGCGGTGCCGGCGGTGGCTACGCTGAGGGTGTCGATGTTGCTGTTGGTGGTCCTGGAGTTTTCGGCGAAGGTGGAGGTGGGGCTGGTGGTCAATCTCCTCCTGCAGATGGGAGTCGTGGTGGCAGTAGAGGTTCAAAGGCCGATGGTTCTCATTTAGATGAAATTGACGCTTCGGATTCTGCTTCCGATGATATATCATTAGCTCCCTCTCCTGCTCTGGATGTGTTTCCGACTCTCTCCGAGATGCCTTTACCCCAGGAAGAAGAGGAATCTGAAAGAAAACAGAAACACCCACAAACAGGGCCTCAGGATGCATCAACGCCCAAAGTGAGTGGAAGAGAGGCAATTGATCCTGATTCGCAAAAACAGTTGCCCGATAAACCAAAAACGGAAAGTATTACTAATGTTGGTGGCGGTGAAACCGCGGACGGGGGAAAAGAGAATAATGCCCACAATAACGGGTTGTCCTCTAACAAAACCGACCCCCAACCACTGCTAGAAGCAAGAATCACAAAAGTATCACTACCAACAGAACCTTCACAACCACCAGCAGATTTATCACCGCCGCCACACGAACTGCCTACGGTACCATCACCAACAGGGCTAGCACCAGCAATAGCCGTTTCAGCAGGAGAAACAAACCCAACAGCATCCACAGGCTCACAGAATACAACAGAAACAACAAGCATGACGTCACCGTCAAATGCTAAAGCGGAGCGTGAAGCACAGGAAAAGCCTTCAGGGAATGTTGCGCAAAACCAAAACAGACACTACACGGACACACCAGGTTCGATGAAGGGTGCAACTACAAGTCGTCCGGCCGAAACAGCAGTACCATCTGTATCTAAAAGTGGCAGTGGTGGAGCTCAGAACAAGGAGGACAAGGTTGATAACGGTGCACAACGGACTAACAGCAAAAAAACACAAGACGGGCCCGAAGATGATACCGACGATGTTCCCACAGCAAATGAAACTCTTCACAAACAGCAACAACAGCCATCACCACTCAAACAAATGATACGACGACAACGCCTGTCGACAGTGACGGCAGCACCGCGGTCTCCCACACCACCTCCCCTCTTTTGCTTCTTCTTGTTGTTGCGTGTGCGGCTGCGGTGGTGGCCGCGTGAGAGTGAGTGTGAGAGAGCCGTGCACCGCCCGCACACACACTCGTCCTTCTCTCTCTGTGTGTGTGTCCCCTTGCATGGACTCTCGCCCTCACCTCACTCCACGAGGCACACACAATAATGTGCCCATTGTATATATGCATGCACACCCATGCAGGCCCGTTGGTGCTCTCTTTTGCACGACACGCACCGCTGCCGTCCTGCCTGGCTGCATGGGCGGAGCACCGTAACTGTTTCTGTTTTGTTTTTATTGCATTGAGTGGGCGACCTCTCTCTCTCTCCCTGTGTGTGTGTTTTGCTTTACGGGAGCAATGAGTGTGTGTGCTGGTCGTCCCACGCTTCGGTTTTTGTTGTCTTGAATCTTTGCTTGTGTTGTGGTTGAGTGCACGCATTACTTTTTTTTTTTGATTGGCAGTTTGCTTTGACTGCGGACGCCTAAATTCTCTTTTTCATTTTTTCTTTTCCTTTGAGGTATTGTCAGTGTTTCTTATTCTTTTCAAACCATGAAGTATTTTCTGTTAAGTGCAGCATGTTTCAGTTGATCCACGTCACCCCACGGTCTGCGGTGCTTCTGGTTGTGATTTGTTGTGCCAGCGGGTGCCTTGCTGCCAGCCTGACTCACTCCTGCTCCTCTGACAAAGCGATGCGTGCAGACAGGGCGAAGTCGATCGCGGCTGTGGTGAGGGACGTGCCTTTTGGAGCAGAGGGTGCGTCGCAGACATGCACCGTCATTGGGAGGAATGGATGGGCGCCCACCCGCATCAATGTGTCGACAAGGGACCCGGATGGTGCCAGGAAGCATTGCAGCTCAGAGCGGTATTGCGCAATGAATTCATTGGGGCAATTGCGAGTGTGAAGGTGACGTTTTTCTATGCTGAGAAAAGGGAAGTATTTGTTTCGTTATGCTTTGCAGCCACTGCTCGTTAATGGCCTGCGGGCTGTCCGTAGCGATGTGGCCAGTTTTTCCGTCCTGAACGATGGTGTCGTGCGAAAGGGTGTGCTCCCAAACAGTCGGATACTCAGTTGTCGAGGACGGCGGCATTCCCACAGCGTGTGCGGCAGGACCTCCCGCGGATTGTCGGGGGCTCAGCGGCTGGTGGGGTTGCAGCAGAGGAGTGGCTGAAGGGCTACGGCTGTCATTGGAGCTTGCAGAGGTGCGTTGTCCGTTTTTTGCTCGTTGATACGCTTGACATTTTCGGTAATGAACTGCGCGTGAGGCGCCTGTTGGGGAGACCGTGGATCTGTCGCAGAATCCACATGTGAGGCCTTCTGCAACGATTGGAGTGCCGGGGTTAGTGCGTCGGGCGTGTGCCTCCATATTGTGGACGGACGAGAAGACGCTGCTGCAGCTTGGGCGGGGCGACGTTGATCCGCTGCTCGTCGTTCTACGAGGAGGTGCCGTGGACACGCCAGGTGGAGGTTCCGGAGGAGGTCGGGGCGGTCCTGCCTCTTCGGTGTGAGAGGAGGAGCACCACCGAAATAAGGGTTGCTTGTGATCTGCAGGGCGCGTGTCGGTCAGCCGAGGAGTGGGCAGGAGGACGTCCATCAGCCGCTTGCTGCTCGGCAAGGACTGGCGGTGCTCACGTCGGGAAGAGGTTACGGCGGAGGCAGCGGCGGGCCGGTCTCCTCAGTGAGGGAGAGACGGCACCACCGACACAGAGGGTTATTTGTGATACGGAGGGCACGCGCAGGCATGTCGAGGAGTGGGCAGGAGTCGCACCGTGCCTGTGCGCAGAGCCGCCACTCGGGGCACGATGCCCAAGTAGTGCCAGGAATAGAGTCCCCGCCACACCGACAGGCGCCTCTCATGCGGTGTGCGCGCCCTCCTTTTCTCCTGGGCATCCCTCCGGTACGGTCACCTGACTGCAGTAAAAAAGTCCACGTGCCAGATTGGGCCGCCCTCCTGCGGGAGGGATCGTGCAATCATGGCCTCGTCGTCAGCAGCCTCATTGCGTGGGATACCGCAGTACGATGGAGAGAACATGAAGTCCACAGAGTGACCTCGCTGTATCAAGGAGAGCAGCATAATCCAACTCTCTTCAGTAACGTAGCCTCGCACGGCCAGTGGGGCAGCGCGGAGTGCCTCAGTTGCCGACGGGGAGTCCGTTGCCACCAGGATTCGTGTGGGCGATTGGGATGTTTCCAGACAAAAGGTATGAGATGTCTAATGCCATTTTCAGTGGCAAGGCACTCTGCTCTATATGAGCGTGCGAGCCTGCCAGCTGCTGCACGATGGACCTCCACAGGGAGATCATTTGTCGTGGTGGAGCCATACAATAGTGCAGCGGATCCAGATGCGAGCTCGGCGTGAGATGAAGAAACGTCTGTCCATAATTCAAAATCATACGCTCCCAGAGAGGAGTAAATAGAATCAATAGCCGTGCGCTTGACGCCGTCAGAGGCGTCTTGGGCAAAGCGTGGCTGATAAATTCCACTTTATTGCAGCTCACAGTGTCCCAGAGGAAAATTACGATGTTGAATAGGAGGAGCACGATTGTGGCTGTGGGGTGTCCCAATAATATTACATACGCGGCGCAATCCATTAACAACAGCATCCTCGGAAGCGGGATCGATGTCGCCGCTTTTCATGCATGGACGGCGGAATGGACTCCAATCAGATTGCGCCACACACGTCCTTAATACATCGGAGAAGTGTGAGGCGTTCGTGTTGAGTGGGTGCGCGGAACCCAATGTTCCTCTGCAGCGGTGCCGGATTGGCGGCCAGGTGGACAGAAGTATCCTTCTTTGATGCGCGTGGGCCGAGCGATGCTGTGCAGCTGTCGCCGTGCCGCACTTCCAGGCTGTGGAGGTGAATGAGGGCCGGACACGGTGCGATTGCCTCGACGCCGTCGTGCAACGCACTGTGGACGCACCCAACCAGAAAGGATCGCGTGGTGTGCCGGGACGCTCCAGCCTCCGCACCCGGCCGCAGCTGATGGCGGCGTGGCACGGTCCGCATCGCAGCAACGGTGACATGCAAACCAAAATTGAGGTGTCGATCAATCGCATTGCCGAGCAGACGCACCGGGTGGAACTTGACGCGTGGGTTCCCATCGCCCAGACGATGGTCGGCAGCGTCCTCGTCAGACTGTCGGTGTGAGGCGATGCAGAACAGAGCGGCCCGCTCCTATCCGCGTTGATATTCAGGCTGTGCTCGGCAGCAAATGTGGCCACAAGCGACACGGCAGTTGGCATTGCCGCAGCACGGACACGGATGTCCACATACAAGGCAACAAGCGTGCGGCCGTCAGCGTGAATGAACGCCGACGCAAAGTGAATGCTGTACAGGCAGCGCAGCAGACCATCCACGTGGTGGAGTAGGAGCTGCGGCCCAAGGAAGCCGCATTGGGCTGCCCCGGCTGAGGCGAGCCGCTGTCAGGAATATTCTCGATGAGCACACACCCCAACGCAGCCCCCTCGCAGGTGATTGCGCTACCAGCGTTGGGAGCGACGGCCCAGGCGCGGTAGCCCGTCGAGCACGGCCAGCACTCGCCCATCGTCCGCGGTGTCGAACGCAGTCGAGATGCCGATCCGGACGGCGAGAGAGCGGTGACGGCGACGGTGCAGCGCGGGACGCCGCCCCTAGCAGGACAGAGAGCAGCGGGATGGGCCGGCAACTCTCCCTGTGCGGCATGTGTCCTTCCCGTGTCTGTGGATGCGAGTGGTGTCCCTCTTTTCCCGGGAACCTCGCAGGCTGCCGTCAGCGAGGGAGGTATTGATCATCGTTCTGTGCAAGCAGCGGTGCAATATGGCGCAGAAACTCATTCAATACGCCGACGGGTCCAGGGGCCATGCCAGGCAAACAGTCGCGGATGGCCGAGTCAGGCACACGGCGTGAAGGACCAGTTTATATCTCAGCCACCAGAGGGCACGCAAGCACAGGGTGTGCGGACAACAGTGAGGATCGCAGCAAGTGCGACGCGGACAGTGTGACGGACGAGCGGGTTGCCTGCTGCAGAGGCAGAGCACAGACGCGGTCCCAGGAGTGCCGCAGCACAGCCGATCCCAGTGAGCAGGAACGTGGTGCCTCCATGCCTCGAGCATCACAGGCTTGGGCTCGAGAGGGCACCAGGCTGTTTCGCACGGGCCTCTGGCAGCATGGAGAAAACACGGCGAAGGGTATGATTGCGTTCCTCCCATTTGCGGAGAGCTTCAGCACGGGGCAGGCTGCCTCCCGGTAAGAAAGTACGCTCGTTGCATGCTGTCGCCGCAACAGACTCGGCCTGCTCCATTCCGTCCGTCGTGATTCCTCTGGTCTGTCACGACTGCCGCGCGGTATGGTATATTTGCGCATCCCCAACCATGTGGTCACAGCGGCCAGAGGTGTTCCACACGCCGAGGTGGAAGAATCACAGTCAGCTTCACGCAGGAAAAAGACGACATGTTTCCGTTGTGGCAGCATGCCTGCCTGTCGTGGGATGCCGTCCTCCGTCCCTGCAGTTTGGGATGGCAGATGTTGGTCCGAGCCCATGTAAACGGGTGGAAGTACAGTGGGAGACATGCAGCACGCGTTGCGCATTCACATTGGGAAACGAGACGCTGCGGCCGCTGATACGCGTTGCCTGTGCCGTGTCGTCGGACAGCTCACACTCCATGCCGCTTGAGGTGGCGAGGCCCTCTCCTGACGTCGTGGATGGTGAGCGACCGTCCCGGAGCTCATGGTGTGAATTCAGGTCAACCGCAATAGGTGTTGCAGGAACAAGACGACGAATGTCGCTCGCAAAGTGAGCAGCGTGGGCAATTACTGTAGGAAGGCTGCAGAGGTTCACCACGCACATGCTGGGGCTGGCCGGTGGGCACACGCGGAGGGCGGTGGTCTCCAGGCAGTTGGTTCCAGCAGCGACAGGCGCTCGCACGGAAAGGTGTGGCGCACCACGAAGGCCACGCCACCGGCACACCCACTGCAGGCCTGGTGGAAGTCAATGCAGACAATGAGCCTCGTCGCTGGCACTCTGGTGCCTGCTCTCCTGCAGAAGAGCCATTTCGCGCCGGTGCTGCGCCAGTCAAGCAGCAAGGGCAATCCTGAGGGGCGAAGGGCCTAAAGTTCTGAGATGCGGCTCTTGCGGACACCACCGCAGCGGGTGATGCCGGCAAAGTGACCGCGATGAAACGACTGTTCGGTTGTCAGTCGGGCTGCAGGCAAACCGCCTCGCCGCTCCACAACCAACAGTGCATGGGACCTTCTCGAGGGGTGACGCCGTCGTGGTCCCCATCACGCCCGCAGCAATGCCCTGCCGCAATCACTCGCACAGAGAGACAATAAAGAGTCTTGTGGATGTGTGCCGAGAGCACAGCGACTGTCATCGTCAGAGAAGGCCATCGTGGCACATTCCGTCACGCACCAGCACACACCGAGCAACGCACGCACCCGGCAGAACAAACACACAGGGGAAAGAAGAATGACCCCAAGAGCAGGCAACACCTTCACACATGGCGGACATCGCACAGCCGCGTCAGCCGGCCTCCAGCACCATGCAAAAGCGTACCACACGCATCCATCCAATGACACCGTGATTCCCACCGCCAACGGTAGACACGCAGCGACCATACTATGTCAGCACGGGATGCAGGCCAACGTCCCACCGTCGCCAAAACATTCCTGCAGAGCACTGCGCAACTAAGTATATGTGTGTGCTGGAGGAGCGGAAGAGAAGAGGAGCACAGGGAGGCACATCAACACAGCAAGAGGCACAACTGGAGGGCAGCGAGAAATGCGGCAGGGCCCCAACCTCAACAACCACGCACGGTGGCAACACACTCACATCCACACAAAAAAAGAAAAAAACAAAACAAATCCTTAAAGAAAAACACGGCGGCAGGGTGTGGCTGTGTGTGTGGCGCTGCGGGTGTCTGCCAGCCCTGACCGCAAAGAAAACAAAACAAGAGGGAAGAAATGTGTGCTCCGCCCCACAGGCCCTCGTCGCACGCCCACACGTCACGGCTCCCTCAGCGCGCCGTTCGTCGCGGCCCCTCCTCATGCGTGCAGCAGGCGAGGCGCACAGGGCCGTCGTCATGTGCGTGTCGGTGGTGTGCGAGTGGAGCAGTTGGGCGGAAACACACGGCACCCCTCGCAGGAAGAGTGCAGCAACAAACAATTAAAGAGGGAAGAGTAGAAAAGAAAAAACGTCCATAGTGATTGCCCCAAAAGCAAAAAGAAAAGATGGGGAAGTGAGTGAAAAGAAAAATAAAAAGTAAAAACAAACACAAGCACACATAAATAAAAAGAAATTAAGAAAAAAACACACAACTGGAAAAAAAGACGTTCAAAATATTTTAAAGCAAACAGCAAAAGAAAAATTAAAAACAATTAAAACAATCATAAGAGGACAAAAAACAGAAACAGTTACGGTGCTCCGCCCATGCAGCCAGGCAGGACGGCAGCGGTGCGTGTCGTGCAAAAGAGAGCACCAACGGGCCTGCATGGGTGTGCATGCATATATACAATGGGCACATTATGTGTGTGCCTCGTGGGGTGAGGTGAGGGCGAGAGTCCATGCAAGGGGACACACACACAGAGAGAGAGAAGGAAGAGTGTGTGTGGGCGGTGCACGGCTCTCTCTCTCACTCACTCTCACGCGGCCACCACCGCAGCCGCAGCCGCACACGCAACAACAACAAGAAGAAGCAAAAGAGGGGAGGTGGCGTGGGAGACCGCGGTGCTGCCGTCACTGTCGCCAGTCGTCGCCGTTGTATTTTTCATGGATTTGGCTTCGAATGGTGCTTCTTTCGGATTGGCATCTTTATTTTCATTTTGTTTTCCCTCTGCTGTCCCTGCGGCATCAGCTGCTGGATCATCGTCTCCAGTTGTTTGGGTGCCGTTGGGATTTGTTATATTCGATGCTCCCTCCGCGCCAGAAGATAAACTTCGCTGCTCTTCAGTGCCTGCTGAGATCACCTCTGTGGTGCCGGTACCAGCTCCTTCTTTCATTGTCTCTCCCTTTTCCTCCGTATCATCCTCTTCCTTTTCCTCTTCTTCTTCTTCTTCTTCGTCATCTTCGGCTTCGGCTTCGTCAGTTTTCTCCTTTTTATCGTCTTCTTTTTGATCCTTTTTGCCCGTCGTTGGATTTACCGTTTCTGGTGCTTCTCCTCCTTCGGGTTGTGTTGCCTGTGGCGAGTTCGTTTGCACTTCCGGCAATTCTGGCGCCTTTGATGATGCTGGTGCTTTAGGCACTGCCTGTTCACTTTTTTGGCCACCACCTCCAGCAACACCTGTGGTCTCTCCTTTGTCGCTTTGAGGTTTCTCTTCACTTGACGCATTATCCGAAGAACCTGGAGCTGCTTCAGCTCGTTCACCACCGCAGACACCGCACCACAGCACGCAGAGGGCACACACCAGCAGCACACGGCCAGTCGTCATCATCACGGCTGCACACACAGTCTAGGGAGGGATAAAGAGAGGAGGATGAGAAGAACACACACATCAGCAGCATGGAAAAGGAGGAGCAGCGTTTGCATGAGGGTTGTTGTCATGAGCATGGGGGACGCGTGCACGCAGGAAGAACAGGCAACAATGAAACACCGGACAGCACGGCACACAACTCCACGGCATGTAAGACCCACCCGCAGCTGCCCCAAAAATGGAAGGGAAAGAGGGGGCAACAGTACGGCAGGAACACAGTGATGCCGGTGCGGAAAAGGATCCCAGAACGGCGTGAAAAAGAAACAAAAAACAGTCTTCCCCCACAGCGGCCACATCCAACAACGCAAGTAATAATAACGGAAACAAACACCACACACGGCAACTCACAGCGGCAGTGAGTTCCCTGTCGCCAATCTTCATGGCTGCACGCTACCGCACTCCTCGTGAGTCCATCGCTCCGCCGCCTTCCTCCTTCCCGCGGCTCCCCCGCACGAACAGCCACGGCACACAATCGGGTCCATCCACACCCGTCGCCACGCCGCCCTCAACGACCCAACAGTCAACCGCCCAAAAACCGTTGCGGAAATCACACACCCGCAACAAAGCACGCGACGCAACATCGTCTCACGTGGACCCCGCCGTCAGAAGAACGTCATGTCAACCGTTTGGCCGGCACACGGTACAATCAATCAACAGAACAGAGAAGTAAGACAGGCACTCAATCAAGGACTCTCCACGCACACAGCCCTTTTGATGCCGCCGCTGCTGCCACGGGCACGGTACCCGAGCGGAAAATGACACGCAGTAAAAGGCCTCGCAAGAGAAAAACAATCCACACGTCCATATGCAAGGCGCCACTCAGGCTGCTGCAGCTGCAGGGTCTGTGGGCAAAAAGCGCCTTACTGAATCCCGCCAGTTATGTCAGTCTCCCCTCCCACCAATGTAGGCGCATAATGCACGGCGTGCGTCCACAGGCATCCACTCCCGGTGCCCTAGCAACACTTCAGAACACACATAATGGAGAAGGGAAGTATCATTACACAATGCCAAAGCAGCTAAATAAAAATAGGGAAATCAAAACCACACAGATCCCTCGTACACGCACACAAACACAGCACAGTATCCTCCAGAAGAAGTCAAACAATTTCTTATCCCAACCCATAATGCACGCGTGGTGCCGCCACATCAGCAACCAACACAATAGAGGGAGAGTGCATACAGCATGTCCCTGGTACAAAGTATACGGACAAGCAGAGCGTATGTATATACTGATAGGAACATGCCAGTTGATATAGGCCTTTCTCTCTTGCACCCACTGCTGAGTGTTGGCACCGCGGCGGCAGCGGCAAGCAGAAGAAGCAGCGGAAAGGGACAAGCAGCAGCCGCAGTGTTACTGCCGTGGATCGGAGGCGGGGCGTCCTTCATGTCTGCCTCCCAACCCCCGCACACCACCGCCGCTTCCTCCTCCCTCGGCGGAGGGTCCACGGCGCCCTGCGCGTCATCAGCGGCATCAGGGCTTCTTGGTCCCGTGGCTGTGGCACCGCCACCGGCCTTGTCGCTGGCGGCCTCATCTCATAATGGTTGTCCCACAACAGACGTCACACCATCGGCGGCCACATCGTCGATGTCCGGAAGATCGCTCTCCTTCTCCGCCTCCTGCGGCGCACCCGCGGTGACACTGGGCAAGCGCACTCCGTTGCCGTCGTGGCACCTGAGGCGACTTCCCTCTTCTCTGGCGACGGATGCTTCTGGGGAGCAGCCGTGTCCACATACTTCGGTGGTGTGTCATGGACGGTCCCAATGCTCTCTGGATCGGGGACGGATGCCCGTGGCAAAGCTTGTTCAGTAGATGCCAGTGAAACCGTCCTGCTCCACACCCTCTCTCACATCGCCACCCCACGAAACCATTGGAAGCAGGCTGCCGCTGGTGGCGGATATCGTGCACACCTGCGCGTGGTCACGGAATATAGCTTTTCCCTCGTCGTAGGGCGGAGCAACCCACGTAATCGTCGCCTCGGCCGTGCATGGGGCACAACGGGCGTTACCCTCTTCAGTCACTCTCAGACGCACCCGCATGCCGAGGCACCGCAATGCCGCATGCATGGCAGCACCGAGATGTATGTTTCTTCCGGGTCCCTCGCATCCGTCGTGTTGGTGGGAGGCGTGTCCAGACACCACGAAGCGGGCTTGTCCCCAGGCACCGCAGACAAATATTCTCCCCTCCAAATAACAGCGGCAGCATTTCTCACATCCGGTGCGGGACCAATGATGGGGCAGCTGTCCATCGGGCGTTTTGCTGACCCTTCATGGATACTCCGTCTACACACCAACCACTCGAATACCGATCCAACGTGCAGCGTCTGGCATGAACGCCCGCTTCGCAGAAAATGTGGGGATATTCACTCATGTTCGGTGCGGAGCACTTCCTCTGCAGCAGCGCACAGCACGAATTCCTTCACCAGCGCATCGGCTCCGCCATCTCCCACTTCACCCTCATGCAGCCCAGGTCAGCCGGTGCGGCCAGCGTCAGCTCCGTGCGGCAGACGGCACAACCAATCGGTGCCATCCACTCATCCTTCGCGTGGCGCTGCGACCAGTGCGACTCCAGCGTCCTCCCGTCACCATCGCCATCCTGCAGCTCCATGCCATCAATGTCGTCGCGGTCGCGGGGCTCCCTCGCAGCCATCGCGGCAGTCGTCGAGTGCACCACCACCGACAGCGCTATGCCACGCACAGCACCATGTCAGCATTGGCAACACCAGTGGAACAATGCCCAGCACGCACCGTGAACCGACTGCAAACGCTGCCCGTGGCAAATGGGGGCACAATCAAAGGACCCTCCAGTGGCTGCACGAGCAGACAATCCGCATGCAGTTTGAAAGCATCAGGGACAACTTCATTCTCGAGAATGATCCCGTGCGCAGAGGATACAACGTCATCCTCACACTCGCAATTGCCATTCAATGAATTCATTGCGTAGTACCTCTCTGAGATCCAATGCTTCCCGGCATCATCCAGGTCCCTTGTGGATACGTTGATGCGGATGGGCATCCATCCTTCCCAATGAAGGTGTATGGCTGCAGCGCACCAACTGCTCAAAAGGGTGCGTCCCTCACAACAACGCGGATCCAACTCGTGCTGTCGGCACGCATCACATATTCAACAAATCGAGGGTACGTCAAAGTGACAGCAAAGCACCCGCCGGCAATCACACCACAAACATCATCACATGCAGCAGCACCAGCGTCTCAAACTAATGTGGGGTGTAGAGCAAGTAAGCCATTGATGTGGGTGTTAGGCAAATATTTCGTGGCTCGCTGAAGCAACAAGGACCGATTGCGTGGGAAGAAACAAAGAACAGGAGAATACAAAAGGGAATATTCAGCCATCCGCACTTTAAGAAGAAAACCAATCAATGAAAGTAAAATGGGTGCACCCAACCACAACAGAAGCAAAGATTCAAAACAAAAAACAAAAAGCCGAAGCGTGGGACGACCAGCGCACACACACTCTCATTGCTCCCGTAAAGCAAAACACACACACAGAGGGAGAGAGAGAGAGGTCGCCCACTCAATGCAATAAAAACAAAACAGAAACAGTTACGGTGCTCCGCCCACGCAGCCAGGCAGGACGGCAGCGGTGCGTGTCGTGCAAAAGAGAGCACCAACGGGCCTGCATGGGTGTGCATGCATATATACAATGGGCACATTATTGTGTGTGCCTCGTGGGGTGAGGTGAGGGCGAGAGTCCATGCAAGGGGACACAAACACAGAGTGAGAGAAGGACGAGTGTGTGTGCGGGCGGTGCATGGCTCTCTCTCCCTCACTCTCACGCGGCCACCACCGCAGCCGCAGCCGCACACACAACAACAACAAGAAGAAGCAAAAGAGGGGAGGTGGTGTGGGAGACCGCGGTGCTGCCGTCACCGTCGCCAGTCGTCGCCGTTGTATTTTTCGTGGCTGTGGCTTCGACTGGTGTTTCTTTCGGATTGGCATCTTTATTTTCATTTTGTTTTCCCTCTGCTGTCCCTGCACCATCAGCTGCTGGATGATCGCCTCCAGTTGTTTGTGTGCTGTTGGGATTTGTTATATTCGATGCTCCCTCCGCACCAGAAGATAAAATTGGCTGCTCTTGACTGCCTGCTGAGATCACCTCTGTGTTGGCGGTAACGGCTTCTCCTTTCCTTGTCTCCTCTTCCTTCGCACCATTCTCTTCCTGTTCCTCAACTGCGTCTTCCTTTTCTTCTTCCTCTTCCTCTTCTTCCTCTTCGTCTTCGTCTTCTTCGTCTTGTTCATCGGAGGTTTCAGTACTCTTGGATTTTTGATCGTTGCTCTCCTTCGTTGGACTTGCCGTTCCTGATGCTTCACTTCCGGATGGTGGTGCCTGTGACAGGCCCGGGGCCGCTCCCTGTGATTGTAACGCCGTTGGTGCTGCTGCTTGAGGCGCTGCCGGTCCACCGCTTTGGCCACCTTTTCCAGCGACAGCTGTGGTCACTTCGTCATCTTGAGATTCCTTGTCTTTACTGGGCGAAGAAGGTGGTCCAGATGGTTCACCACAGCAGACACCGCACCACAGCACGCAGAGGGCACACACCAGCAGCACACGGCCAGTCATCATCATCGCCATCACTCCTGTCACTTGCGTGCAGCCTTCAGCACAAACTAACAACACGTCAAAGCAGAGTGAAAGCAAAAAGAAGAGACAAGTCACACGGTAACACGCACAGTCCCATCCAGCAACGAGAGTCACGCACCACAACAACAATTGGGTGGGCGCGGTTCAACAACAATCAAAAGCGAAAAAAAAAAAAGAATTTATCCTCGCCCGTGACCCGTTCCTCACACTGCCACAATTTCACTATTACTGTTATTCCCTCTCCTCAGTCCCTCACAGGCACGCCACGCTCAATTCAACACGCGCCCCTCCAGCACAGGCCTCGGAATCGTCGGGCCCTCCCAGCACACGCAGCCGTCATGCGCTCCCGCTGCGCCAAAAAGTCCGCCACTTCCTCCCAGTCGAACAGCTCCGTGTCCTCCACGTCCCTCACAATCGCCGGCATGCCCCGGCTGCGCAACACACACAGCGCCACAATGTCGTGCCGCCTCTCCTCAAAAATTATGAGCGCAACGCCCAACGCGTACTGGCGCACGTTTGCCATGCGCTGCAACCACACACCAGTCAGGTTGGCCGTCACGCACTGCATCTTCTTGTCCTCCTTGTGGTTGGAGCACACCTCCCATCCTCTCAGTCCACGGCCTGGTGCTGCAAGAGGCTGACGAGAGGTTTCACCATTGAGTGGAAGACCACATGTGCGGAAACAACGGCCACCCTCACTCCCTCGCACATCTCCACTCCTTCCATTCACTCACCCGCACACAAACGGCAGCAACAAGAGGGACGAGGCAAATAAAATTACATACCGCAGTCCTTCAGTTCTGTCTTCCACTTTGAAGCATTTTCCACGGCAACCGGTCCAACAGAAAACGTGCGGTTGTTGTCCGTGACCCAAAGGCAGAGCGCAGTGGCCCTTTTATCCCCCGAGGCATGCCCTCTCTGAATGCACAGCATGACCTTCCTTCCCTTCCTCAATGGTCGCGGCGATGAGGGCATCCACATGCAGGCTCAGATCAAAAAAGAATTATCGGGCGTTGAACCACACGGCTGAGAGTGTCCCGACGGCCTCCGTCCACACTGTCCCCATGTCACGCGACGCCTACACCCTCTCGCCACTCTCGCAGTCAACAACCATGTGAAGCGATCCCTCCCACTCGGTGACGCGGGGTTAAGGCATTTCGCAGGGGAAATGTCCTCAGAGAACGCCCAGGCACTGCCGTTGTCCGTCGAGCAAATGATTATGGATCAAACATCTTCTGCTTCATTCTTCGCCATCAGAGGAAACACAAGCGTGCCATCCTCCATCACAACACCTGCGCCACCAGAAGCAATGAACTCCGTCCAGTCACCTTCGTGAGAAGCAGAAGAGATCAGTTTCGAGAGTGGTTTGGGGTCGCCACATTCGATCCGTCCACTCCGCTTGCCACCCGTGGGATTCGTGACATCGCCCACAACCAGCTTCGGCTCCAAGCCGTCCTCTCTCCAGCACCCGCCTTCGTAGGACGCATCAGAGCCTCCCGCAAGAGGAAAAACTCCGTGGCCCTTCGTGATTGTTGTGCTCCGCCGCACAACACCCAAACTCTCCTCTCCCTCCGCTGCACCAAGCACAGTGTGTGCCCTCCATATACCTTTTATTGACCTCACCAACAGCAGTGGACCAATTCCACGCAGAGTCAATGTACCCCGCAACAAAAGCAGAAGAAAAGGACATAATTAATTGACCACCTTGATATTCGGCATCCATGTGACCCTCGGCGAAAGCACCAATTACTCCACCAGCACTGATGAGAAAGGGCGAAGAAATGAATCCCTCGTCGTAACTGGAACAGTCCCATCCTTCGGCTGCACTAGCGTCGTCTGCGGCACAAATAGATCGACTCCCTGAAGTAACTCAACATTTATTAAACCACTCATCGCATCACCAACAGGATTCCCCTGCGGCTCGGTGACAGGCGTGGGCCTCCTTCCGGGTGGTGCCGGGGTCATATTGATATTTTAAACGCAAGCAAACTCAGGCCTCGTCACGGACGTGTTGGTCGCCGTGTTGGATGCGGGACTCGGATCGACGGTGTTGGGTCCGTCAGCCGCCGCAGACTGTCGCCAATCCTCGTTCTGACGTGACGGCTCAGCATTCAATTGCGGCGCAGTTGTCTCGCCAGAATTTGTGTCATCCTTCCCTTCACGGGGTGGCGGCAACCGACAGATGCCGTACGGTCAGCATCGCTGCTCCGTGCAGGCGGATGGATGGTTCCATCGGGGGAAATTGACGCCACCACAATTCATAAGGGCCGGCGTATTTATGTGTCGTCACATTCATCTTGAAGGCAACGGTGACTCCCTCTTCTTTCCTTGCACAGCTGGCAGCACAGTTGCTACATGTGTGCACCGCATTGGCCACATGGCACACAGCACCCAGCTCACCATTCCCGCCATGCATGTGCACACCAAAGCCACTGAACGTATAATTCTCACACTGAGCCTCAGCACCGGCAGCAGAACACTTCTTCCACGCCCCCCCACACACACACGATAGCTCAGGCTGCCGTCACTCGGAGCACACGACACATCCACCGTCACAACCACCGCACCCACAGGAAAATAGACTCGGGCAGGGCTCTCCCTCTCCCTCCTCCTCATAGCCACGGAAGAAGACAACAGCCGCCACACGCAACTGCCAGCATGCACTACAAAAGGTGCATTCAAATCCACTGCAATGTGCATCTTGTGTGTGTGGTTGTGTGTGCCTGCAGCAACACAAAGCAAAGAAGTGGAAAAGAGGGAGCAGAGTGTGTGGGGGACGCAAAAAAAATGTACAGCGGGGACGCATAACGGAAACAACAACAAGAAGACCGCTCAAACTCATGACTGCACTGCAGCCCAAGCAGCGGCAATTCACACAATATTTATTGAAAACAAAAAACGTCCCCCTTCGTCTTACGTAAACCCCACCACACAAAATAATTATAAATGAAAAAGAAATCGTCCATTACTGCTCCACACAAATTTAAAATAAGAAAAAAATCGCCTGGCTGCCGCGTGGCCACACCAAACTGTCTGTATGTATTTTGCCCGCAAAAGAAAATTAAAAGATGGCTGCGTGTGCTTCAACCGTCCGACCCTCCATGTGTCCGCACATCGTTTATATTTCATGGGGTCATCTGCGTGTTGCTGCTCCCCTCAGCCCTCTCATCGGCGCGTGAGTGCGGCCCGCAGAGCACAGTCACTCGTGTGTGTGTGGGGACTGAGAGAAGCACGCAGACATGACGGGAGTCGCGTCACTCCATCGGGAGAGTGAGCGCAGCAAAGAAAAAGAAATCATCGGAGGGGAGAGAAATGCTCACGAGGCCGACACCGAAGGGTGCGCCACCGCATGAAATGAACACGAGAAGCAAAACAAATCCTTAAAGAAAAACACGGCGGCAGGGTGTGGCTGTGTGTGTGGCGCTGCGGGTGTCTGCCCGCCCTGGCCGCAAAGAAACAAAACAAGAGGGAAGAAATGTGTGCTCCGCCCCACAGGCCCTCGTCGCACGCCCACACGTTACGGCTCCCTCAGCGCGCCGTTCGTCGCGGCACCTCCTCATGCGTGCAGCAGGCGAGGCGCACAGGGCCGTCGTCATGAGCGTGTCGGTGGGTGTGCGAGTGGAGCAGTTGGGCGGGAAACACACGGCACCCCTCACAGGAAGAGTGCAGCAACAAACAATTAAAGAGGGAAGAGTAGAAAAGAAAAAACGTCCATAGTGATTGCCCCAAAAGCAAAAAAGAAATGGGGATATACAAACGCACAAAAAGTAAAAACAAACAAACAAAAAAAACAAAAAAAATTAAGAAAAAAATCACAAAACCAGAAAAAACGAAAAAAAGTTTGAATTATTTTAAAGTAAACAGCAAAGAAAAATTAAAAACACTAAAACAATCATAAGAGAACAAAAACAGAAACAGTTACGGTGCTCCGCCCATGCAGCCAGGCAGGACGGCAGCGGTGCGTGTCGTGCAAAAGAGAGCACCAACGGGCCTGCATGGGTGTGCATGCATATATACAATGGGCACATTATTGTGTGCGCCTCGTGGGGTGAGGTGAGGGCGAGAGTCCATGCAAGGGGACACACACACAGAGAGAGAGAAGGAAGAGTGTGTGTGCGGGCGGTGCACGGCTCTCTCTCCCTCACTCTCACGCGGCCACCACCGCAGCCGCAGCCGCACACGCAACAACAACAAGAAGAAGCAAAAGAGGGGAGGTGGTGTGGGATGCATCCGTGTTTTGACTGTAGTTCTTCTCATTTACTGAATTTGTCTTTGGCTGTTGAGTTTTTATCCCATGCGTTGTTGTGTTGGATACTTCCGAGAGTGCTCCTCCACTGCTTTGGGATTCTGTAATTTGGTCCCCTGATGATTTTTTTGTCTCGTTCGTTTGTGAATGGTCATTTTTCTTTTGTCCTTCCAAAGAGTCTTGGAGTTCATCTCCCGCGGCGTCGTGGCCAAGACTGTGACCCCCTGCTGAGGCAGAATTGTTTCCTTGCTTTTCAGTGTTGGATCACACCGTTGGCTGTCCTTCGGGCGAAGAGGTGTGCGGACTCCCTGTTTCTTTTTGTGCCAAAACTTCTTCTGGGGATGCAATCCGCTCATCGGATGAAACACTGACCGGGGCTGTTTTTCCATTGCCACCTTGACTTGAGGAAGTAACGACAGAGCGAGAGTCCAGAGGTTCACTTCCACCACCAACAGAATGGCCAGCACCGGGAACAGCAGGAACAAGACCGGAAAAAGCAGGATCGGGACCAGCAGGACCATGACCAGGAATAGCAGGACCAAGACCGGGACCAGCAGCACCAAGACCGGAAAGAGCAGGACCACGAGCAGAACCAGGGCCAGGAATAGCAGGACTGGGACCAGGACCAGGAATAGCAGCATCACGACCATGACCAGCAGCATCAAGACTGGAAAAAGCAGGACCAGCAGGGCCATCAGGACCACGAACAGGACCAGGACCATGAATATTAGCAGGAGCACCGGGA